TTTTTTATGTCTAAGAAAAAGAAACATGTATGTGTATATATTTATCCACTTTGGAAAGACCTTTACATATATATGTAGATATATTTACCTATATTTTATATAAATTTAGAAATTATATATATGTATAAATACACATAAAGTAATAGGATAAAGCAAAACATAAAAAAATACAGATAGTGGGACGGAATAGGGTGAAGGGAATAGAAACACAATCCAAGCTTTTTTGAGTATATTTTGTTTTGCAGATTTAAAATTGGAATTATCTAAATATTTTAAGCAATTCTGAAATGCATTTTAAAATTTTAAAGAATTTTATGAAGATTAAAAAAAAAATTCCAAAGTACTTAACCCAAAGATGTATGTAATTTTGGTGTTGTAACTACTCAGAGGATAGTTATTACAAGTACCTTTAAATCACAGTAATTTGACTTACTATTTCTAATAAGATGTACTCTTAAAGCAAAACAAAAAAAGCTTCAAAAAAATTTAAACTCTTTTAATCACATCATTCATAATAGTTTTGATATTTCTAATTCTAAAACTAAATGTATATATACACACACATATGATAAAACTAGTAATTACTATTATTAGAACCAAAGTTTTTATCAGCATAAGAGATAAAATATGAATCAATTAGGTTAAATAATAAATCTTATTATTATTAATTGAATTTAAGATATGAATATAAAATGAAGATATATTTTCTCTGAAAAATATGTATTTTCCAAGTCTGTTAACTGAAAAGCCTGTAAACAATAATCAACACAATTACAATGAGTATTCTTGCTGTTTAGATTATGGTTTCTAAATACCACCTCTCTCAAAAGGAACTGGGTATTGTTAGAAGATTGAGTGCTGTGAAATTTGAGGTAGAAAATATACAAGATAAGACATCTTGTCGATCTAAAAGCAATAGTTATCAAAAAACAGTTGAGGTAATATCAAAAGACCTCAGAAGATACCTTACAAAGTCAAAAATTGAAAAACCAGAGCATTAATAAAAATAATTATTGCAATAAACCAAAAACACATCACAAATATTCAAATCTGTTTTATAATGATCCTCTTTATTATTTTTTTCTTTGAGAATATATCTTGCTGAGCTTAAACATTACCAGAGGGCAAGGAACATACTATTTATCTTTCTCAAACACATAATGCACATGCTAATGGCCCATACAAATATCAAATTTATCATCTTAGTAATAGGGTGCCCTAATCCAGTGATTTCCATGTTGTGCTTTATGATGTGATGCTTCCACAGTTTTTGCGTGTTTCTTTCTTAAGATTATGAAAAAAATCCATTTAGTTAAAAATCAGTGCTCTATTAATTTTAGTGTATGAAACAGACATAACACACTTTGAATATATACCCATATAGTTTTGAACTTAAGAGTAAGTAGAATGTTATTGAGCAGAAAATAGCTGTAGTAAAAGTTAATTTTTTTTAATTTGAAATTAAGTCATTGACCTCAGACCTAGCATATTCTGCAGTCAGTTTTGTATAATAAGTATAATTTAGTGATATGCAAACAACCCTATGTATTCCAATACCTCTCAGGGGATCATTATAAAAGAATTAGTATTTATATAAATGTGCTTGAGAAATGAGTTATTGAGAAAGCATAATTAATTTTTTAGATATTCTACTTAAAAAAAAAAAACAAGAATTATATTGTATTTTTATTTTTAGCCATAAAACATTTCTTGAAAATTTAGCACATTGTAGGAGATTAAATACCAGAAAAAAAGAAAAAAAAAAAAAAAGAACTTTTTAAAATGGGATGGAGTGAAAGTACAAAATTCTCAGAACCCTAAAATGAAATAAAAGCAGAAACCCGGGAGGTAAGCAAAAATCAAAGTGAGCTTAGGATCAAAGTGTGGCTTTCTTCCCAACAGTTTTTGCCAAATCCTAGAGTCCAAATTGAACTTCAGTATTGATAACTAAAAGGGACATGGAGCAAGTTTCGAATGACCAAAGTAAATGAGCTGATAGGAGAGCCCTGCATAATGTTGACAACCAAAGGATGTGTAAAGGGTCAGTAAGAAAAATAACTATCTTCTGAGGATTTGTAACTATAAATTAGCCCTCACATGGATTAATACATCTAGTTTCATACTATTCATATGATCTGAAAATCCTTAAAACAAGAACTTAAAATGTTCTTGTGTCAGAAATAATCCTGGACAACTGTCAAAAACAAACATGAATATCTTTGGAGAAACATACTTCAACGCATTCTCAAAAATTCCAAAAAGATTAAGGTAAATGAGCAGTTTAAAGTTAAAAATTACAATATTCATGGGGAGACAGTATTGTATGTAAAAACCAACAGAAACAGAACTGTATATTTATCATACATTAAATATAGAATAGAAAATACTTATGATTATTAAGACTTGATAAAGGAAATGCTGTCTTAGATTGAGGTCCCAAAATGTAGAGCTTGAGATGGGGATTTAGATAAGTATGTTTTATTGAAGAAGTGCTCATCAGGAAGAAAACTATGAGGGGGAGAATTCAGGAGACTATGAAGGCAGAAAGAACTGAGCAAGTGTAAAATTCTAGTCTTGGCTTAATATACAGCTTAATGATGGTTTCTGAAGCATTAACTGCAGTGTGTGTGTGTGTGTGTTCTCATTGTGTTTTTCCCTTCTACTTGTGTGAAGTTATAAATTTATTCTCTATCATATTCTACTGTTTAGAGTGGAAACTGATGCAACCACTTTGGAAAATAGTTTAACACTACATAGTAAAGTTAAGCATGTGTATGCCCTATGATTCAGCATTTTCACAGTTCTATGTCCTAGAAAAACTTTTGAATGGATGTTAAGAGCAGTATTATTGCAATCTTAAAAAATATTTGGAATAACTCATATGTTCATCAGTTGTAGAATGAATTAATAATTCCAATTATATAAAAAATAGCGAGTGGCAATGGAAATGAATGAAAAGAGAATATGCAACGAATGAATCTCGAAAAATATGAAGTTGAGCAAAAGAAGCAGAAGAACATATACAGTATGATTACCTTTATACAAAGCCCACACACAGGCAAAATTAGCTAATATATTTTTATGGGTACATACAAAGGTATAAAACTTTAAAGAAAGTAAGAAAATGATTAACTCAAAATATAATTTGATAATTACTTCTCAATTGGGAAGGGAGAGGAATGCAAGCTGGGTGAAAGGGAATTTCTAATGCTCTATTTCATAATGTTAGTGATGAGGACACAGTGCCAATTATGCTTTGAATGGTTTGTATATATGGTATAATTCTATGTAATTTTAATGTGATTAGCATGAAATATTTTAGAGCCTCAACTATGAATACCTTCATACACCTTCCCTTGCCAACTAATTAATATCCCTGAGATTTTTCTTTTATAGTATCATGTCTGTCTTTTATAGAAGTTAGCTTATAATTATATATTTACTTGGATACACACACACACACACACACACACACACACACTATCTGTTTTCCCATTAAGCTATATGTTCCGTGAGAGCTGAAACTGTGACTTTTATTTTTTTATTTTTTTTTACCACTTTTATTGTGAGGTTCAAAAACAATTCCTTCTACATGACCTCATATATGGTTGAATTTTAAGTTTTTTAGAACTTTTTCATCTATGAGGATAAACTTTGGCAAAAGTTAGAGTGGGAAGCTTTGCTAAAGCAATTATGCAATCACTCAAGATAACACATAGAGTAGCACAGTACATAGTACATGGTAGGTTCTCAATAAATATTAGTAGTTATTGGTCTTGGTAAAGGAGTTCTGTAGTATCTTTTTATTTAACTCTATCATCTAAAGTTGCTCAAGTTAATTTCATTCAAATTTGTTTCAATAGGGTAATAATTATGCCATAGTGACTCTTTCTTGATGCTAATATATACAAATGTAGACTATTTTGCTAATCCATGAATAGTGGTTATGACATCAACAGCTGAAAACTAGGTAAGTCCCTCAGGGCTGAATGTAACTGTGGTTTTCATAGCGGGTAAGGGAAGGTTCATAGATTTGAGATAGAAGTCAAGAGATGAAGCTCTCATTTCCTAATTCTAATCTTCAAATGCAAGTATCTTGGAGTGAGTTGTTTTATTATTTTAGTGATAGAGCAACATCCAAAGTTTTTTGTTTGTTTGTTTGTTTATTTTGTTTTTTTTTAATCAGGGGAAGTTCCCATTAAAAAAAAGAGAGAGATTCTGATAACATTATATAAAGGGAGCCCAACTGAAAAACGGATTAGGACTCAAGAGTGGGTGGAGAAGTCAATTTAATGAGTTGCAACCAACATTTGTTTTAATGAGATAAATTAGAATAATAAATAACAGATCACAGCTAAATAATTTAAGAAACTTTGTTTTTGCTATGTATGTCATTTTAAATAGACTGTAAAATGTTATCTATTCACTGTGAAAAGCATGCTAATTTCAGGTATAGTAATGGCAAAAAATGGCCAATGGCAGGCAACTGTGAGAAGCTGTTGATTGAAAATTGAAAGATTTTTCTTTCACAGATGTTAAAACATTAAGATAAATGAAATAAAGCACATGCGCCTGTATATATCTAATATACAGGTCTCTGATATTAGATATATTTCTTAGTTTAGATTGTGGCCAAAAAAATGTGAAAACCATTGACCTAGAAAATTTATTTTCTGTTCCTTAGATTAGAGTTGGGGGAAATATTGCAAAATTATACATATATCAGACTTTTCAACTATAGTGTTTATAAGAAACTGGTAAATTAAAACTATAATAATATTTCTAAAATTGACACAAAAATTTTACATATATTATAAAATTGCCAAATTATAAATTAACTAACAAAAACATTTCACTGACTATGAAATGTAATAGGCTAATCAAGACTATATACATAATATTTGAACCAATGAAGACCTTGATCCATAAAATACCAAAAAATTGGACAGCCATGTAGATTCCTCAGAGACCTAGATTTTCAGAAAAATTGTATCAGTCTTTTTTTTGTAAAGTATACAATTCATGGCCAGTTACATGTAATCAGTTTTTAAAATGCTTCCACTTATTAAAACTTTAATAATAATAATAATAATAATAATCACAGCAGTTTTAAGTATTATTTGCTTAATTTGTTCTAGACGACACTCATTTTTCTTTTTATTTCTGCAGATTCAAGTACAGAATTGAGCAGATTGATAAATTTATAAACATCATGGAAAGAATTGTAGAGAGGAACTGGAGCCACTCGTATGCCATTTTCTCGCTTGTCACACTGTGGGGGAAAAAAATAAAGCCACAAAAGTGTCAGCATTATTCCACAATACAAATCTATATTCAAGATTAACTTACTGAAACAATCATGTTAATTTCCCTAAAAACTAATATATAAGCAAATTTTTTCACTTTAAGTAAAATATAGTATTTCTAGATTATTTGAAGTTCTCTTCATAATTTTAATTAATTAAAACATTAGTGGGTTGTTTAATGAATATCCAAAAGCATTTTCCTGAAGTCCACTCAGCAATGATCTTCTTTAAGCATTCAATAGATCATATGTATAATTTGTCTGTGGGGAGACTCTGAAAAGCCTGGACTCTTGGACACGTTTAAATGAATGACAACCTCAGACTGTTCTGGACAGTTTTAGTCACTTATTCTTACATTTAATTCTTTAATCCCTAATCTTGCAGGTGAGGAGTTGGCTGTATTCCTGGTGTAGACCCTAAGAAAAAAAATTTATTTGATGTGAAACCATTTGCGGAGATGAACTCCCATGGTCAACTGAGGTTCCAAATTGTGAATAATAAAAGTCTAGAGGCCTTGTGCTAACAAGGGCTCCTCATGTACTTTGTATACCAGGAAAAACCTCAGACCAAATCCTTGGTTTCTGGCACTCTGTCCCACTTAGTTACTTCCCTCTGAGTGAGAAACCCTGGTTTCATCTTTTTACCAATAGACTGAAACTTGTCACATCCAATCAGAACTAAACAAATTATATCTTCATTTGCATCTATACTGACCAATCAGAACTGTATCATTTGGATACCTCATTTGCATAAAATGGACATAATTTGGAACCTGGGCAGTAACCTCCCCTTTGTTTCTAAGGGAAACAATTTAGGTTGCTACCTGAACCTATGTCTCCCAGGTTACAGTCCTTTTTGCTCAAATAAATACTTTTTTTCGTTATTAAAGTCTAAAATTAATTTTGATTTACAGTGGGAATGCTGAAATGTTATGAATTGGGCCTAGATAGTTTGGCCTAGCCTGATGATCACTAAGACTATCTTAAGAAACACACAGTATAGGCTGGACAATATAGTAAATGGTTTATGTATGCTGGTCCATTTGATTCCCATAACAACTTTTTGAGGTAAGTATTTTTACACCCAAAAAACAGATAAGAAGTCTCAAGCCAATAGATGTTAACTAATTTCCCTGAGAGCATATAGCTTGGACATAGAGTTTGATTTAGAATGCTGATTTGTTCCTCTAGAAGCTACTGTGATCTCTTCTAAAGTTTTAGAGGATCACATGAGTGGAGAAGTTCCTAGAATACATTACCACTGGCAATAGATATGTTATTGCCATTTTTCCCTGAAATTATTTCATTAACACTTATTAGTTTCCTTCAGAAGACTAAGAAGGCTAGTCATGCCCAATGGTTAAAAATAAAAATTATTCCATACAATGTTAACACTCCTGAGATGTATCTCTGTATCTTTTATGATTTCAGTGAAACTGGTGAAATAACAGTTCAATCAAACAACTAAATAAGACTGACTTCTCTCCACCTCCACCATACTTATATGATTTTAAAATTTTATCTATTCAATAAGTACATATTGGAGCTTTAATTAATGAAAACTAATGAAAATGTGTCTTAACTGATTATGATGAAACAATATTTTCTGCCCAAACTGTAATGAAAAGAATGAATACATGACATGAAACTGTTTCATATATCCAAAATTTGTGGTTTCTTCTCTTTTATCAAAAATGACAGATCTCTATGCCTTCAATTAGCAAGTGCTGAATATTTAGTTGGCACTTAATTTATCCTTACTAACTGACTGATTGATGTGAAATAACATGCAACAGTGAATAAACCAAAGAATCCAAATTTTATCCCTAACATGCAACTAATAGAGAAAACATGGTAGCAAAGCAAGAGATTACTTACAACTACTCCTCTTTTTTCTAGTTCTTCCAATATATATTTTGCTGGAACAGAAAATGTCAATGTTAGGAGGCAGCCACGGTCCTCTATATGGGATGGAGTAATTATGTTCACAACCGGTTTCTTGGTTTCTGTTTTATCTTTTCCATAGTAATGTTTAATCATGTATTCCAGATAACCAGTTAGCAAAATAGACTTTCTTCTCAGTGCTTTCATAGTTGCTTCCCTAAAGATCTGTAGAATGAGAAACAATCAGATTTACAATATCTTGTTGATTTACAAAGAAGCAAAAATTAACTATAAATCATGCATAAAAAAGAGAAATGACCATTTTTAATCTCTCCAATAATAATCTCATTTTAAAGAGTCTTTTTGTAAAAACATGTCCTCTTATAGATTCTTTGCCATTAAAAACTGAATGCAAAGTTTCCATGTCAGAAAAACTGTAAAAATGTGATTTAAACAATACTTGTAAAAGAAGAAAAAAGTTGATATAATGTTTCTCAGGTTAGCTTAGTATAATTAGTATAAATATCCCTTAATAAATACATTTAAATACGTAAAATTTAAGCTTTTTCTCCAAAACCACTTTTTACAATCATAATCAAGAAGTCTTTTTTCTATTTTGATGTAAAATTTGTTTGGTTCATAAAATAATGCAATAAGAACTAAATGTAAATGCATATGTGAAAGGCAGTATTCCCAATATTACTTATAATTGTTTTAGCAATTCCTAAATCTCCCCCAGTTTAACAGTAAGAAAACAAGCAGTTAAATAATAAATCTAAGTTTTGTCGGACAAGGAAGCGAAAAATGTTAGACAACACATTTATGAGTGCTGAAACGTTTAGGCTTTCTTTCTTTTTTTTCTATCTTTCTTCTTATATCATTTTTTTTCCATGCTAAATTCTAGCATGGGTCTGAGAATACTGCTGTTTTCTGCCTGAAGTGTCTTATAGTAAGATGAATGACAAGGGCACACAATCACCAGCGTTGGAACATTAGAGGTCAGAACAGACATGCTTTTCTAGCTTATCTCTTAAGGTCAAATAGAGTTTGAAAATATATCCTACATATAAGAACTGAATGAACTGCAGAGTGCGATGTTCACTTAATGTTCATTTTCTGTATCATGTTATGCCACAGAGCAAAGATAGGGCCATTTGGTGATATCTAGACTATAAAGCCTATGAAAACAGTTATTTCTGTATATATGTATCCAAGTGTGGGCAGGCATTCTAATAGAACTCAAGCCATCTGGGCATACATTTTCTTTACCTTTACTGCATGGAGGCTGTACATTTGGCTGAAGGAGAGGAAGGGAGTTGTAGTGAAAGTAATAGTATCTAAGGAGGAGAGAAGAAGCAGAGGATAGAGTGGTATCTGTCTCCCTTTGCCACCCAGACCTCACAGACTATGTCTGCCGTTGGGGAAGAGATCAGCTGCCAGTAGAAGCTGAAAGCTTTGTTTCAGAAGGCATCTGAGGTCTGCAGTGTAAATAATATGGTAGTCTCCCCTCATTTGTAGTTTCATTTTCCACAGTTTTGGTTGCCCTCTGTCAAACAAAGTTTGAAAATACTAAATGGAAAATTCCAGAAATAAACAATTCATAAGTTTTAAACCGTGCACTATTCTGAGCAATGTGATGAAATCTTTCACAGTTCAGTTCCATCCTGCCTGGGACCTGAATCACCCCTTTGCCTAGCATCTCTACTTGTATATGCTCCTACTCCTTAGTCTCTTAGTAGAGGTCTAGGTTATCAGATCGACTATTACAGTATCACAGTGCTTGTATTCAAGTCACACTTATTTTACTTAATAGCAACCCCAAAGCACAAGAGTAGTGATGCTGACAATTCAGATATGTCAAAGAGAACCTGTAAAGTGCTTCCTTTAAGTGAAAAGCTGAAGGTTCTCAACTTAATAAAGAAATAAAAAGAATTGTATGCTGAGGTTGCTAAGATCTACAGAAAAATGAATCTTCTATCTGTGAAACTGTGAAAAAAAGTGTGAACAAGGATGACTATTGTACAAGACATTTTGAGAGAGAGACCATATTCACATAACTTTTATTATAATATATAATGTTATAATTATTCTATTTTTAGACGTTATTATTTATCTCTTACTGTGCCTAATTTATAAATTAAACTTTATTGCAGGTATGTATGTATAAGAAAAAATAGTATATATAAGGTTTGATACTATCTGTGGTTTCAGGCATCCCTGAAGGTCTTAAAATGTAACCCCTGCAGATAAGGGGGGATTACTGTACAGTTCTAGGACTCAAGTAACCTCAGTTATATGAGTTTTGGTAAAAAGGCATCTCTTCATTTTCTTTTATAAAACAAAATGTAAGCACATCTGGCACAATGAGGACTCAAAGGAACACCTCCAAGTTTTGGGACAAGCGATCCAGATCAAGAGTCAGTGTACTTACAGAAGACAGGAGCAGGGACAGGCAAGGTGCTGCCAATCAGTGTTTTGACTATCAAATTTAGAATTAAAAATATAAGATAAATCTTTTCTCCAAGCTTCTCTTTGGAAATTAATAATTATTTAAAGGAATTTTAATTACCATATAATTCTAGAAAATTTTCTGGTTCTGATATGAGCCACACAAGATGCAGATGGGGATAATGTGTGAACTAATACTTTTAATGATATGTCAGTTTACATTTATAAGTTCAGAAGACTTTGGGGAATATTATTTAAGTTCATAGTTTTTTTACAGGAGGCTTTGCTCTTACAAATGTCTTTTAATAACTAGATATCAAATTTTTATGACAAATATCTCAATTTAACATAGTTACTCTTTGATAACAATAAAATAACTTTTAAATGTAAAACTATTTTTCACATACAACCATAACAAGGGCAGCTGCATTCGGAAGTACTCTTAAATTCTTCTCATAAAGCGTCAAAGTCTCTTCTGAGGTCTAATGTAAAAACATTAAGAGGGGCTGATAGAAGGAGTTAACAGGAAAATGGAGTAAATATCTTTTTTTTTTTTTTTTGCTTCTCATTATTTCTGTGCTTTCAGTACTGAAAAAGAATATTTTTTTAAAAAATGTAAAAAATTAAAAAGTGTAGTTTGAAAATATTCAGCTTTGATTCTTGGCAGAGTTTCAACTACTTGGATTATTTTTCTTACTGAGTAAAATGAATGCAAAGCTAGAAAAGTTAAATTTAAAAAAGAAAAATAAGTATAGAATGCTGTTTTCAATTGTTATATTTTTTTCTCTTAAATTCTTAAAATTGGCTCCCTAAAAACTTTTTGAAGAAATACATAGTACATTTCTTCTGATTTACCATGTATTTTAGTTGAATCCTCTAATTTTGTACTTTGATGCTATTTATTTCATTATAAATGCATGTACTGAAAGGGTCTGAAAATTGTCTGTATATTGCTACATAAAAAAAAAAAAAAAGTGACCAAAACACAATATAAGTATTATTTAATTTCAGGTTAGTAATTGAATGATTGAGGGTACCTCTAAAATAATCTGGTTCAAACATCTTCATTTAAAAATTGAAGCGAATGAATTAAAGAGTTATTGTCACTTGTGTAAGATACAGTCTCCCCATAGGGATGGAATATTTGCCACTTAGTTTGTACCCTAGTGCTCTTTACCTTGATCCACAATATTTTTTAAAAGTATTGTATAAATGATTACGAGGCAGCAATATAAAGAAATTTACCATAATTAATTTACCATATAGAAAACTCAGAAAGATCTAGAAAGTAGGACATTTTAACAGGTAGAGAATGGAAAGCAATGAAATGTATTATTTTGTAATTTCAGAATTTTACGAGTTATAATGGGAAGGAAGAATTCCTTAAAACACTTTCTTCAACATAATGTTTGATTACCTAAATATAATTTGGGTTAGAGCATAGCCTCAACAGTGAGTTACTTAAGTGAGGTATTTTCAAGACACTCTAGAGAAATACTTAGGTGATAAGAAACTCCAGAGAAGTGTATATCTCTCTTCTTGTGGCTCTTAGGATCTTTTTGCTAAGTTTAAATTTAGATATTAAAAAAAAATAATAAATCAGTCTTCAGATTCCAGCTGAGAATAAAATCTTATTTAGATGACTATAATACAGTGTAGTAGGAAACTAGTGGTGAGGAGAATAATAATCTGACTCTTCCCATGGCAGAGGAGTGAATACTGGAGAAGAGCCTGCTCACTGCAGCAAATATACCAAAGTGAGAGTGTTTAAAAGAAAATTTCTAGATATGATTGAGAAGTCATTTGCAAAGATAAGGAAATTCAGGAGAAATAGCTTTAGGTTCTAGCTCTTTCTAAGGTATTCCTTGGTGCCTTTTTTGATAATGTAATCTTCTCCCTGATATAAATTTGCAGAGTAAGCAAAACTTTATTTTGTTTTAAAATGTTTAACAAGAGTCTCTCTACATATTGTAAGAACAACTCAAAAGGCATTATCAATTTTTTAAGCAGATTGCCTTCCCCCCCCCCCCCAAAAAAAAATATATCACTGATTGAAAAATCTTGTTACTGGGTCTATTTCAACTTAAAAACAAACAAAACAAAACACTGCCAAAAAGTAAAAACAGCACAAGCTCCATCTAGTGGTCATACTGAGTAGGTGCTCTTTAAACTGAGATGAAAAGAAATGAGTTGATTCCCACGACCTAGTAGTGGTGAAGTTGTATAAAAACAGAGGAACTTGACACTGCCATCCAGTGGCCGAAATGAGAAACTGCTATAAGTGATCACAATCCTAGAATACATACAGGTTTAGAAGAGATTTTGGAAGTCTTTATCCAGTCATGCTGGAATACTCCAAAATATTATAAACTAGCTTTTTAAACTTAAAAATATTGATTTTTTATTTGAATAGCTATATATTTTAAATCTCTATTAAAATATATATGTATATTTACTTAAAATATATTTTACTTAAATGTGTGTATATAAGATATATTTTTCTTAAATATATTAATATTGTTATCATATAGTATATAATTATTAAAAATAGATTTAACAACTTTAGTCTCACCCTAAAATTAATTAATATCTAAATAATTAGAATACAAAGATAGGTAAATACAGATATGGATAAGTATTTAGATTTATAGAAATAGACTGATATAAATATCTAGAAATACTGTAGTCTATAAAAACCGATTCCTTGGATATTATTATTCAGGTGAGACTAACTTTTTTAAGTGAAAATATTAATGAATTTAAAGAAAAATATTGATTCAGTAAGAGTAGAGACTATACATGAATACAATGACATAGAAACCTGAGTTTAAAAAATAAATCCACCCTACCTCATGAGATAGTTTTATTTTCCCCTCCTTAAAGTTGATCTTCCTATAACTTTGTCACATGGTACTTTGTAAGTTCACCGATTCATGGAATAGAAGCAGAGTCCCCAGTAATCACAACAATGTCTAGCACATAGTACTTTCTTAATAAATAAATGGTGAATGATTGAATCAAGAACTAAATATTGTATATATATTTTGTATACAGAGAGACCAATAGAAAATTAAATAACTTATTCAAGTTCACATAAATTCTAAGTGGAACTAAAAATACGTCTCCACAGGTCTGTTCTATTTAATCTTTATTAAGTTCCAACAATGTGCCAAGCATTCTGCTGAGGTGGAGATATAAATAAAAGGTGACAATTAGCACATGGTCACTGTCTAAAAGAGAACACTACCCTTGGCACATTGTTTGTTCATAGTGAATAATTATAATCTTGATGATTAGCAGAGACAATACTAAAATATGTCACAACCAGGTAAAGAAAAAGGTAAAGATGTGGGAAGGTTGAACCATAAATTACTTACCTCTAAACTAGCTTGTAAGGCACAGACCAGCAAAATGGGAGGATTTGAAATTCGAAATCCATTGGCCCCAGAGATTAACTGCAATTCTGAAAAATTAATATCATGTTATTTTATATAATGTATCATAAAATGACCTTTATAGATTTTTTAAAAATGCTAATAAAGCTGTAGAGAAAAAGATAAGATTTTTAAACTTTTATTCCTAAAATTTCTGAGATATTTAAGAGAAACTCTATGGACCTAAAATACTGGCATATTTCCTCTTCACCTACATTGTCCGTCTCTCCTGCCTCACATTTCAACAGACTACCAAACACTAGAGCCATTAGACATAAAATAAAAATGACCTCTCCTAGAAGCTTTTCTAGACTCCACCTTCTGCTCTTTCATTCCTAAACCAGTATTCCTTGTTCTACTCCATGCTTTGCTTTTTTTCTATTATGAAACCATGTCAATGAGAGGAAAATATCAGAATTTAAATGGCTTATAATTGTAACATTGCCCAAAGGCATGCATATAAATGAAATGACCTATGAAGGTGACTTTTAGCACTAGAATTATTAGGTTGAGTTAAAGAGGGAGGCATAAAAAAAAATCTTGCTAAGTATGAAATATGAAAAAGATGAATTAATACAGATATTATCCTAACTAGAATTAATTAGATTGAATAATAGAAAGTTAAATCCAATAGAGTTGTTAGAGATCAAATTAAAACTAAGACTGACTGAGAGAATTTCAAAATATTCTGGGTCTCTAGAGATATATCTAATCTAGGATTAGGCAAACTATGTCCTATGGGCCAAATAGGCCCACTACTCATTTTTATAAATAAAGTTTTATTGGATCATAGTCACACTTATTCATTATGTATGTCTATGCTTTAGCACTACAATGGCATAGTTGAGTGTATACCATGGAGATAGTATAGCCCCCAAAGCTTAAAATATCTTCTGTCTGGTCTTTTGCAGAAAAACTTTGCTCTCTGATCAAATCCAATTCCTTCATTTACAGATAGAAAACTCAGCACAAAGAATTTAAGTAACTTGCATAATAACAGAGCTAATTATTTTAGCAACCTAGATAAAATACTAGTTTCCTTATTTGACTAGAAGAGCTCATCTTGATTCTTTGCATCTCGGTTGTTGCAAATGTGAATATATTTAAAATAGGATCGCGTTTGTTTATGTTGAACTTTCAAACTACGAAGATTTCTGCATCCCATATGATTAGAGATAGAGTAACTGAGGAAAAGAATTAGGAAAGTTTAGGAGCATCCTGTGCGTGGTGTACTTGCATTTCTTCCCAACTGGGGTGTAACTGCTACTGTTTAGTATGTGGCAAAGCTACAAAAGGAGGAAAATTTGGGAGAAGAGAAAGATAAAAATGAACATTTCTTAAATAGCACTGCTCTGTGCTACTTGGTTTATGGCTTTGAACTTGTCTTACCTTTAAATCAAATCCTGAAACAGACATTATTCACGTTAAATATGTGAGAAGAAAAACAAAGGTGATATAACTTGTGCAGCATCACAAAACTATTAAGCAGTGAGACTGACACTTAAATCCCTCTGAGTCTAACTGCTAGCCAAAAGTTCTTTCTCGTCCTCACTGCCCACTGTTTTGGGTACTCCATATTGATGAGATCTGGGTCCCTTATGTTAGATTTCACTTCTTCTTATCTCCCGACAAAGGGATAGACTCAAAATCATGCTAAAATCTATAAACACTTAGTCTTACACTCTGGAAATGTCACTTCTTATTTTAAAAATTCTCAGTGGCATTTTCAAAGTGCTCTCTTCATGAGGCATGTATATTACACATCATACAAAGACAGATGAAAAGTAAAATGAAGTTAAAATAAAATGACTTGTGAAGTAAAATTGAATACACTTACTGCGATCCATTTTAAATCTGGTGCTGAGTTCATGGCCAAACCATCCCACTAACCTAAAATATAGATAACATTAGATACTGTAGTCTATAAAAATAATCACAATTAATATAGAAATCATATTGAAATCATTTGTGATACAAGTCATCAAATACTTAAATTCTATATGATATCCTAAGACAATTTTTATAACCTTATCAAGAATGAGGATAAAATCAATTTATTCATATTACTAGTTATATTGTTTTGTGAAGTTAGGTCATCTGAAGAGCTATATATAATTATAATTTTTCTTATTTAAAATAAAATGAACAAAAACCTTTTTTTTGGATTTTAAAACAAAGGTAAAAGCTGAACAAGAAAAATCAATTAATATAATGTATTTTAACAATAGTATCCCTAAAGAGAAATGGTATAAAAATAACCTATATAACTGTTGAAAATTTTTAAATAAATTTCTAAAGAAATTGGTTACCTTCATATTTTAATAAGAATGTTACTTGGCCAGTGATAAAATGAAAAATATGTAGGCAAAATTATGTATGCACGTGTGATGAAAAAAATACAAAATAGTTTAAAGAAAAATTTGAGAAAGAGTAATACACTATTCTTGATAATCAATTCTCCCTAAATACATATTTTAGTCTAATGTTACCAAAAAAAAAAAAAATTCTAAGGCAGTTTTCTTTGGAACTCAGCAAATGTTTTTAAGTTTATACAGTTTATATGAGCAAAAAAAAAAAAAAATACATTTTGAAGTAGAAGAGTATAAAGTTTATTATGTTATATTTTATATAGCATATTACAAAATTCATTCAATAAATGAACATAGTACTGGTAAAGAAGCATCAGGGAGACAAACAGAACATGACAGAAAATATAAGAGTCCTCAGATCATACATCAATTTAACAAGTAGTAATTGTGACATTTCAAAAAATGCAAAGGTGAAGAAAACATTCACATATTTACATGTTTTTTATAAGAAAAATTACTTTCTAACTATGAAAAGAAATAAAATATACAGAAACCTATCAATAGATACATAAATATCTAAAATTCTGTATAAAAAAGACCGGAAAAATCAAAAAACAAACCAATGATGGGGGAATGGTGCTATTTGCTTGATGTAAAAGAGTTTTCACCAAGTTTTTCATCAGAAAAAGAGCAATGCCTCCAAAGTTACACAGCTATAGAGCATGGAAAGGGCATTTATAAAAATAGAAGTACAAATGCCCCACAAATTCAGAAAAATAAATCCTTAATTAAAAATATGAAATAACATAAATATGAACCCATACTTCATATACCAAATTGGCAAAGTCATTTTAAAATTATGATTCCTATTTTCATCAATGAATCAAATATAAAGAACTGAACCCTTTGTCTAATTAAGAAAATAGTAAAGTAATAAAATCTTTGTAGAGTACAGTTTGAGAATATACATGAAAAACATGTATAATTTTCTGTCCTAGTTCTTTTACTCTTTTCAATTTATGCAAAGGACACTATGATTTCTGTACGATTAGCACAATATTGTTTAAATGTCAAAGCAATCTAAATATCTTATAATAGAGAATTAATAAAGTAGATTATCTTACTTTTATATGATGGGATACTGTGTAACCATTATAAAAATTCTATTTAAAAGAATATTCAAAAAGAATTAAAAATAGAGATTACAATATTTAAAGTGTTGTTCCAATTTAAGAAATATCAAATATAAAATGTGCATTTATATGTAACTCTGGCCAAAATGTTAAAATAAAAAAAAAATTGCTTTATTCATATCTGTGTTTTCCAAAATTTTCTAGAGCATGTGTTGTTTTTGCATCAGAGAAAAGTTTCAATTATAATTTTAACCCGTATTCATTAGCCCAAACTTTTAAAAATTCTATGAAAATAGCATAGTTTGTACATTTTTGTATATATATAAATATAGAATTAGTCAGCAAAGTTTGATTAATTATGTAAGATGATTAAACTTTTTACTTGATCACTTAAAAATATTACATGGCTACCCTTAAAGAGAAAATTCACAGCCTATCAGCTCAACCATACCTTTCAAACCTCATTTTTAATATTTCTTTTCTCATTTTAAATTATTCATTCTTAAAACCTATCAAATACTGGCCCCAACACCCTGATTTTTCTGCTTGAAATGCTGACATGAGTAGAAGCTGCACAGGAGAAACTAAAGAAAAGAATTAGAGTGGTGAGCAGAGGGGTGAAAGCCCAAGTGATATAACATCTAAGGAAGTTCCAGTGAAAATATACTTTCTAAAGTGAAGGCAAGCTTTTCTAATTTGAATTTCAAAAGCTACACCTTTGATGCAACCATAGGTAAAGAACAGGGGGTGGGAAGAGTCATTTTCAGAATGGCTGCTATATTAGCTCTTATGCAGAAAAGGAGAAGAAGCCTATAAAGAATCAGGAGGAACCGTAAAAGTTGGAAGTAGTCAGGGAATGAGACACTTTAAAGGCTACCCTGTTTCTTCACCTAAGCTCAAGTTTAGATATCTCTCCCAAATTGCTGATCCAGAAAAATTCAACTCATTCAACAATGAACAATGAAAAAGAAAATAGGTATTGAACTGCCACAAAGACTCTACATAAAAACTGTAAAAATAGCAAGATCTATCCATAGGTGAAAAACGTGTACCAGAAGTTTGCCAGAAAGCTGATAAAAAATGTAAAGTGAGGGAATAAATAAATAAAGCAAGAGGAAATAATATTCCAGACAATGGAAAAATACCAAGTAGAAATGCAAGAATAATACTGATATAGCTTGACAATAGAAAGAATAAAAACAAGCTTGCAGAAATCAGAAAAAAAAAAAGTTAGAAAACAAAAATAAACACAAAAATAAAGAAGAATTTAGAAGGAATTCAAGGAAGTCAAGAAACTATGGAAAAGACAGCAAAGGGCAGAGGATAGCTGTGAGAAAAAATAAAAACAGAAAGAGAAAAGAGATTTAAAATAGTATAGAGACAAAATGATAAATTTAATAAGCTGACAAGAAAGTTCTGTCATAACCAAAGTGAGTTTCAAAAGAAGAAAAGCAAAAGAATAAACTTTTTAAAAAGTTGTGATTCAAGACAACTTTGATTAAATAAAAAATGATTTGAATCTACATATAGAAAAAAATATAACATTGTCTGAATGATTTGGGGAGAATTAACCCCAAGTGTCAATTTTATTTATAGCTTATTAAAGTTATTGGATTTTAAGGATGAAGACAAAAATTTATGGTTCTAGGCCAAAAAAAATGAAGACAAAATAAAGGAAAAAAACATCAGATTGACTTTAAATTTACCTATATAATACTCAAAGAAAGAGAAAGAAAGAATAATGTAAAATATTATGTTTGGATAAGCCGAACTATATAAATGTTACTTGTGTTGATCAAGCAAGAGTACAGCTAATATTTTTACCATGGATTCTTCATGAAACCTACTTGAGGGTAAATTTAAGTCAGCCAAGAAATGACTGAGGAAATTGTGACAAAAAGATATGCTGTAACTATTGAATGTATTTAATTATGGGATTCAGATTAAACAAATGTGGGAATATATTGAAAGAAAATGTTATATGGCAATGTAAAAATGAACAAATGGCAAAATGGGGGGAAGTAAAGTAATTTCACTGATCATCTATAATTTAAACCTGATAAGTCAAATAGAAGTAAAATTAGATCTAAGAATATAAAATAAACACCAAGAAAGTCAAAACTGACTAAATCATGGGGTAATAAAAGACTAGTTAGAAAGAAGAGAAAACCTGTTAAATCTATTATTGCTCATGGAAGGAAACAAATAGAAAAAAAAAAAGAAAGATAAAATTTTAAATTAAAATCTTTATAAATATCAGAACAGGTATTAACTAAAAAATAACAGACAAAAACAAGCTCATGTTGGAAAACATTAAAAAGCTCTAGAAACAGAAAATATGACATTAAATGACATTTAATGAAGACCAGACATAGCTGTCAAAACAATAAATGTCAAAAGGTTTAATTCATACATCAAAAGATAAAAACTATCATATTATACTACAAATAGGTTTTGCTAAAATAAGTGATTCAGAAACAAAAAGAATAAAAAGATAAACAAGAATAAATGAAAAATTCAAAAATAAAGCAATTTTGGATATAATCTTTATATCAAACAAGAAGAAATTCAGTTAAACAATGAAATGATTTGAATAAGGACATTTTTAAATGTTAATTAAGATAATTCACAATAAAGATAAAACATGAGTTTCTAGACATCACATTACAAGATAGGAGCATTCATAGAGCAGACAATACGGAAGCTACAGGAGAGGTAGAAATATCCTGTGTTAGAAGCATTTTAACCTCTCTGAGTCTATGACAGATCAAGTGGACAAAAATATCAATTAAGAAGGGAAATGTGGTAAATATTTAATGCTTTCCTCTGAAACAAAGATTATAACTTTTTAAGAAGTGTTCATAAAATACTGACTAAAACTAACTACAATAAAATCTTAATATTTCTAAAATGGATATATTGCTGACTGTATTTTCTGATTATAATCCAGTAAAACTAGGAATTAATAAGAAACTCAGAAAACCAAAGAAAGACTCAATTACCTGAAAAATTCAAATAAAATATGTCTCAAATTACTTTTAGGGTCAAACTGAATGGGCAGAATTTTTTGTTTTAAGAATAATGAAAATACTATATGGATATAGTAGTATCTTCTGAATACTACTAGAATAGGGCATAAAGAAAAATTCATTTAGATTTCAGATTAATAAAAAAAATTAAATGAAAGCAAATAAATCAATAAGACCAAAAATGTTATAAAGAACATGAAAATAAACTGAAATAAAGCAGTAGTGTGCTATTAATAAAGATAAAAGCTAAAATTAACAATTAGAATACATAAAATAAGTTACATGTATATATAAAAAATCAATTTTGGTGGAGGAGAGGGATACCAATTAATTGAGAAAACGCAAGACAGTAGACAGTGGAGCTATGAAAAAAAATAAGAGCAATGATGTTGAATATTCCTACAAAATATCACTACATT